ACAAGTACGACGTGACTCCACTGAAACGTCTGTCCCGAGACAAATTTGCGAAGTTGGCCAAGACGTTTTGGGACGCCGAAGCATTCGAGTTCGCAATTCGTGCAGTCTACAATATTACTCCGGCGCACGACCAAGGTATGCGCGACGCAGTCGTGAACGCCTCCGGCTATCATATCGAGGAGATGAAAAAGGAACGAGCATGGTTCTTGGCACTCATCCAGGATGTTCCTGAGTTCGGTGCAGACCTCGTCAGCGGGATGTCGGACATGATAGCCAGTCCTTTCACCCATTTCGATATCATGCTGCGTTGCCCGCGGTGCCGTCAGCGAGGCGTCACAGAGTTGTGCTCGAACTGTCACTCTCAGACTTGGGACCACTCTGACTTGGGACCACTCTGACTTGGGACCACTCTGACTTGGAAGCACTCTGACTGGAAGCACTCTGACTTGGGACCATTCTAGACCTACTCTTCAATTTCCGCTTCTGGACTTCGCACCATCAACGTCAGAAGGAATCGGTCTCAATGCTTGTGTTCCGTTCTCTTACACCAGCATGTATCTAGTGCATGCAAATACCAGATGGCGGAGTGATGAGAGAAATATGACTGCATGACTCAATTATCGCAGCTTCTTATACAGTGTTGATCGGTTCAAGTGATATTGAGATCGTATATACACTCTAAGTCCTTGATTTTCGATGAATGAAAGGGAGACTTATTCCAGTTTTACTTATAGACTGAAGAGGAAACGAAAATGCAGAGTCTATGAAGCGGAGCGAATTACTTTCCATGTTGTAGCCTGTTTCAGTCACTTACATCACTTAGTCCCCATAGCTATATACTGTCGTGTCCACGGTGACGTGTACTGAGAGGGTCAGAGAGATAATAGCTCGTTCGCGAGACGTGTGCGAACTTGTGGATATAGATATCCGGCCAGGTCGGAGCAGAGTTGAAACACCGTGGCTTTCCACCACCAACACCTGGCTTGCACCTGCACTTATCTACCGAGACTCTTATGGGACTCCAAGAAGGGCGGAGGCGTGCCTTTCCTCGGAGTTTTGTTATATGGGCGTTGTTGGGAACGCGGACTGCATCCGGAAGAGAAACGACGCCGAAACACTCGGACGAACCCTCCGAACAACGTTCTGGCACGGAGTCCGTTGGAGCCTGTTCTCATGTAGAGGTCCCTCGAGTCGCTCAGCTGCTGGGACATTAGTGTTCGCTGCTCTTGAATGATGCGGTTGTAGCAAGATACCGCAATGCATGTCCTGTGCACGAAGCGTCGTCGAACGTCCAGGAACGTTGGATGACTGAATCACGGCAGCCAATCGTGGAGCTCCCGAGCAAACCGAACATTGGAACTGGCGCCGTGTGTAAGAAGCCGGACCGTTCCGCTTCCTACCACTTTCCCATCCCTCAACATCCGTTACTCAATTGGATGCTAACATTTTCTCCCATCATATGCACTCCTCGAAGCTCCTAAACAGCCATCTGCGACACAGGACAATCACCGCTGGTGACACTCAAGATGCGCAACATGAGTCTCAAGGAAGTAAGGAACAATCCCATCGATACTCCTTTGAATCAAAGCAGGACTTCAAAGCATCTGTCATGAAGCGGAGATCATGAGGGCCGACTCAAAACCAGCAGAGGCCGCAGATGCAGCGTACCGATCATCCGGCAGACCTACCAAGGTCAAAAACGATGAAAGTGAATGCTTTCCTCATGCCTTTTCCACTGTGCTCCAGCGCCATGATAGGCTACTCGGGTTGTCTGGGCGCTTCGCTTCGTTGTGAATGGGATTTCTTTGAGGCAAGCGTAAATCGAATGTCGACATACGGATCTGCTGTGCTGTTTGTGTCTTCGAGGCCATCGACAGAGTGCACATATGGCCTCTCTCAGAGTTTGAGCCAAGCACAAGGTCTTCTCACGAGGATGCTGCACATCATCCACCGACACATCATCTCGCAAGCTACTGAAGTGCGTCGTTCACGTACCTAGGGCAAGTATCGCAGTGCTGCGATTCTCCATACGTCTTGTCTGGCACCTGAAGATCCTTCAGCGTCACTGTCCTCACATAGTCATCGCACGCTCGTCTACCATCGCTCACATCAGCCACTTGTGAAGCCATCATAGCAGCCACAGGTTCGTCTGCTACGCCGCCTGCAAAGCTCGAGTCTACGCAGTGAGTGGTCGTCCAGCAAGTCAAGGTCGTATTCTTCAGCACAAGTGGTGATGTCGGGAGTCAAATGGAGATTGGCCGGCATGGTTGGCGAAGGAATAGCTGCGAACAAGACGTGAGGCGAAGCGGCGCAAGCCACGAAAAGTATGCTAGATTGTACATTTGGAAGAAAGGCCAGCCCTGAACTTCAAGTTCGCTCCTTTTGTGCCTCATGTGCAAAGCACACAGGGTCTGCCAAAGGGAGAAGATCCTAGGCACTTAATGGATACATGAGTTCCAGTCAGCAGCAAATCTCTCAGGCGAGAGCGAGCTATACAGCAAAGACGCGGTCCCCGAATGGGGGCAGCAACTGGGGTGCGGTACGAGAACCGTATAAACGCTTCAGATCAGCCTTGTAGCAATCAAGCCAGTTCCTGTGCATTCGTCTGTTGATTTTGCCCGGAATCAAATGTGCGAGCGCTTCAGTCACACTCAACAGTGAATGTCAGTACTCGCGAATCAGTCGTCTGGTCAGTGCTTGGATGCCGAACTGAGCCGCAGCGTCATTGACGCGGTAACTTCGGATCTGGATGCCCTGGACTAAAGTTGGAACAAGGAAACGAGCCGTTGAAGAAGCCTGTATTCGTGTGGGATAAACACATATCTCTTCGGCATCGAGAAAGTTATTGTCACACAGCTCTTGTCCTTCTCAGCAATCGGGTAGAGTTATCTATCGACGTCGCACATCAGAACTTTCCGTCAGGTACGATCTCTGACGTCAGCTAAAGACCCTGGCTTGATCGGCCCTGCATCTCCCCAGATTTCGATTGTGGAGAATGGTAGGACGAAGGAATCGCGGATTTGGATCGCAGGATTCGAAGCGCGATGAGGATGACAGACCCCGGGACCTAGAGAACGGTCCCAAGCCTCGCCATCGGATCTCACGCTTCAGAGACATTGCCAATATCGCAATTGCAGACAGGAGGAAGGAGGATCTCAAGAAGCAGTTGAAGGAGGGAGTCGATCGGGATGGACTGGAGAAGTATCGAAAGAGCGATGAGCAGGTCAGTCTGAGTCTCATCAAAGGCGCTCGATCATACCTTCAATGCGCATTCCCAAGACCATTTCGGGACTTGCGACTGATCCAGATCCGGAAATACAGCTCAAAGAAATCAAGAACAAGAAAGTCCGCAAGTTCTACGAGACTCAAAACGAGCGCCTCAATGTCTGGCTAGAGATCGATTCCCTGGTCATGGCCATGGCAGACGACGTCCTCGACTCCATGAACCCAGACGCTGACCACGATGGTGTGCACGAGCGCTCCGGGGCGTTACAAGGATCTGGCGACAACATCGAGGAGATACTGCCGGAAGAAGAGCGATCGAAGAGGAGGAAAGCCAAACGCGATGCTAGATGGGCCATCAACGTCAATGTAATAGCCAATGTCCTGCTGCTGATCGCGAAGATCGTCGCAGCCTTCTCCTCGAGCTCACTGAGCTTGATTGCGAGTCTGGCGGACTCGGCGCTGGATTTGCTGTGCACGCTCATAGTATACACCACGAACAGACTCGTGGGGTGGCGGCTCAATTCGCTCAAGAAACGCTTCCCTGTCGGAAGAAAGAGACTCGAGCCTTTGGGCATCCTTGTCTTTAGTATCATAATGATCGTTTCCTTCATGCAGATTCTGAAGGAGAGCGTGGAGAAGTTGCTACCTGGGGAGAAGAAAGAAGCGCAGGCGCTACCGCCTGTTGCTGTTGGCGCTCTGCTTGCTACAATCATTGTCAAGGGGATTATCTGGTTCGGATGTATCAGGATCAAAACAACACAAGTGCAGGCTCTCGCTCAGGTCAGTACGCAGTCTATGCCCCTCTCCGCCATCTCAACCGTCGAGACTCTGGGCACAATCTCGATGTATTCAAGCCGACGCATGGGACATTGGTTGACACGATGCACAGGACTGCAAAACCGATGTCATCTTTAACACGCTCTCTCTCCTCTTCCCTTTCATCGGCCATAAAGCCAACATCTGGTGGTTCGATCCCGCGGGCGCCGGTCTCCTCTCTCTATTCATCATCTACGACTGGGGCCAGACCTGCTTCGAAAATGTAACTCGCCTTTCGGGTTCTGCTGTTGACGAAGCACTGCAGAAGAAATTGACGTACTTGGCATACCGTAAGTGCAGCCCTAACCCAGCGAACGCTCATCAAAGCTTTGAGTCTTTCGTCAAGCTTGCCTTTACTGATGCATTGATTGCGTAGGCTTCAGCCCACTGGTCGGCGGGTTCAAGTCTCTTACGGCCTACCATGCCGGCGACGGTGTGTGGGCGGAGATCGATGTGCTCTTGGACGAGAAGATGCCGCTGCATCGTGCGCACGACATAGCAGAGACACTGCAGTATTGTTGTGAGGGACTGGATGAAGTTGATAGGGCGTTTGTAACTACTGATTGTAAGTCTTCCTACTGACGACATGCCACAGGGCTCCACTAACGTGTGGCTGTGCGCAGATACATCGCAGGGTCCTACGGGACACACTTCTGACTAGTACATTATTCGGCTTGGACTTTGATTGTTACTGCATCGCGTCTGGTAAACATACCTTATTCGTCTAAGGTTTTGTTTTGGGAGCATTTTACCGCGTGTTCACTCCATAGCGACAGTGTAGCGAACGAACGGCTGGCTGAGATCCTATACACACGCATCTTGTTCGATGTGGAAAGCAGACTGTCCACGGTAGCAAAGTTCATTTCAGGAACAATCACAGCCACATTCGGGCTGAGGCCTTATTTAGTTGAAATTGCGAGTTTAATAGATACCAGCACAAGGATTGTTACCCCACATCTGGCACTTTGGCGGAGTGGTTAACGCGATGCCCTGCTAAGGCATTTTCTTCGGGAGCGTGTGTTCGAATCACACAGGTGTCGATTGCTTTTGCTTTTTGCGCTGACTGTGAGGCAAATACATCATGCAGGAGCTCGTGTGTCAATAATGCATTAGAGCTGGATCGCGACAACGTCTGTTGGTTGGGTGTTGCAGTACTGCTGCACTGGCGAGTCACCATGTAGACAATCGTGTACAGACCACTCAGGAATCAGGCTCCTTCGCGATTCGCGACTCCAAACCTTACTTCCACAACCACCGGACAGAACACAGAAACCTCTTGTTCATTGGCAGCAGCGATTGTCTTCGTTCTGGTGCTTATCCCTGTTTACATTCATACGTTTACTCGTCGCAAACTGACATAAGTCTTTGTCTCTAATGACACTGCCTCTAGACCTCATTCTACAGCACGCTTCAGCTTTCTTACATACAAAACGCAGTTTCGCGCTCGCTGCCCCTCACTCCCCCAAACTCTCTAACTCACTGCGTACTATCGCTTGATTGACATCCCCTCTTACCGTGGGGAATCTGGCTTTTGTTCGATGCATTCAAGTTTCTCAAACTTGCGTGGGCGCTCTTCCTGCGATGATGTTGAACTGGGCAGCGACAAGAGTGCTCGAGCACCAAGATCCTCACGTTAGTTGTTGCGAGCGATGCGCGAAGCACCCAGAAACGTCGCCGTACTACGAGCTTGTCAATACCACTCCATTCACGCAGCAGGCTGGGGATGTGGATACCACAGCGAACCGACCCCAGCTCGCAGTCGAGAGGTTCTGTCATGTTTTAGCGATAGGAGAGAGCCACTAGTTGTTTCTCAATCTGACTAGGTTATGGGTCGCAAGAATGTACCAAAGCGCACGCGTCAGGAGTATCACTGGAGGAAGTGCCGCGCTATTCAGCTGCTCAGCCCATTTGGGGAGGTCTATTTCGCGAAGCACAAGCGCGTTTATACCACACAAGGGCTGCTGCAATAACGGCTTCAGAACTTGAAGGCACCAGGCTGCAAAATATCGAAAACACTGTCCGGACCATACATCTTCCTAACCCTCTTCATCCGCTGTACGCTTTCTACCCCATACCCAGCAAACGGGTCCTGCCACCTAGCGGCATAGTTGAGATAGACGAATGGATGAAGCGCCTCGTTCTCCTCAAGCAGTGTCCTCATGGTTTCGTAGAAACGTCTCACAACGTCTTCGAAATACTCGGTCGTGGATTTCGAGGACCAGCGGAGTTCGACGGACAATAGAATCAACGGTGCATCCTTGGCCGAGAGACCTAACGCATTGTCGGAGTGCGCGATGTGGGAAGCTGTCAGAGGCTGGAAGGTCATTGCTAGCCGACCTTCGGGCTCGTAGTCTACGGTCCCTGCGAAGTAAGTGAATATGCTGTGGATATCGCACATAAGAGCGGCGTCGTTGCGGAAGGTCAGCGTGAGTTTTGACTCCCTGGGTCACGCATCAGTTGTGCGGCCCTTGGGGAGATGCAGGAATTTTGGAGTCTACTGACCGGTATCCTGGGTCGTTGCTGTGATTGGTCTCCATGGCGGAAGTTGACATGTTCATCTTTCGAAGATGACTGAACCTGGACGGAGTCCTCAGAAAGCCTGCAAAGGCAGGAGACGACGCTTCACCTCGGGAGTTGATGAGGTAGAAGGTATTGTAAACTTCCTTGTGGCGTTGATCGTAAGCAAATGACAGATATCCACTCGAATGCACATCCAGGTGTGCTTCGCGGTTGAGTTTCTCAAAACTCGCAAATACGCTGTTCAGTTCGTTGTCGTCGAAAGCAATCGGTCCGCCATAGACCTGTGGATGCTTGAGAGCAGGCAACTTGAAGCTCGTAACAATGCCGAAGCTGCTCCCACCTCCCCTCAAAGCCCAGAAGAGATCGGAGTGGTGAGCGTAGCTTGCCAATACGACCGTCCCGTTTGCAAGAACGACTCCGCACTCGGAGACCATATCACAGGTCCAGCCATTCTGATTCGAGAACCAGGAGAAACCTCCACCTAAGACATAACCGCCCACCCCGACGTGGGACGCGCGACTGCCACTAACGCTGAGACCGTACTGTTCAAGGGCTGTGTAGACGTCCAGCCATCGAGCGCGTGTGCCAATAAGAACGCTTTGCTGATCATGTGCGACTTCGACTCTGGACATCGACGACATGTCAATGGTAACGCCTTCATCTATTTTTGAGGCGCCAGACACTGAGGAATGGCCGCCAGCCTTGACAGCGAACGCCGAGTTCGTCGAAACAACAACCTTAATCGTGTTGGCGACATCCTCGGCAGAGGCTGGCGTCACTCGGCAGTTTGGATGTAAGTCTTTGGCTTCTTGACGCAGCCAGTATTCTGCCTGCTGAGCACGATATTCTGCATCATCTGGAAACCAGACTTTGCCAGGAAGGGCCCGAGAGAGTTCTAAGCACTGGCGCTGGCTTGTATTAGACGGAGTTCAATGCAGGAGAAGCAGTTGAACCAAAGTCGGATATTTCCTCCTGTATCTTCTTTCCGAGCTGTAAAGGCAATAAGGAGGTGACGTACTTCTTCCCACCGCTGTTACGCATTGTGACAGGTCTATCCATCAGAGGACCGACAAGACAGAGCAGTGAGATTGAGAGAAGGACAGGACACGACTTATAGCGCGTGGCTTGAGAGCTTGCTGCAACTCAAGGGCTGCCTGGGTCAAAAGAGACAGCCACGTTCCCAGCAGCATCGCAGTTTCTTCGTTGCGCTGAGCTCAGGGACCAACCATGGAAGGTAACATGTGCTGACGGTCGCGAATCTCCAAACTCGCCTTGCTTTGACGCTTACGCGGCTCAAGCTGCAGACGGTCACAATCGGGACCTTCCTACAAGGCGACTGGAAAGGTCCCCTCGCCGCACTTCATCTTCGCCGTATAGTTTGCCGTAAAAGGAACACTCTAACATCCAACCCAGTCTTTGTTCTTATTCTTGTTCTTCTTGTAGAGCGATACAGCAGAAGTAGGTTTGGTGTTGTGACAGGGATGGCTCCTCAAGCTATAGCGGCAGCTATATACATTGTTGATTATGCAGCCAAGCGATAAGATCGTGTCCGCCCTTCCCCGTCACCTCCTGCATTCCGAAGACAGTGGCCATACTCGAACACCACACAACTCTCCTCAATTCCCCTGTACGCACCACGCTTGCAATGTAGTTGGGAGGAAATCTGTTACTATTGTTCGTTCGTACAGTGCTGAGAACACGGCGTGCCAGATCTTCCGACATCTTCTTTGTCTCAACACTCGGGCGTTGAACGTTGCGCTTACAATATGAAGATCGACCACTATTTCTGAGTCTAGAAACACAAGCGTGGTAGTGAGGCAGGCACAAGGGGTTCGCAGTCCCTGCAGGAAGAGGGACGAGGGTGGTAGTGTCGACACGAACAAGGAGCTCAAGATGTTCTCCTACTTCCGTTCTCACCACAAGAGGTCTGGCTCTGCGCCGGCCTCACCGGCTCCTACATCTAGTGCCACGCACTATCAGATGTCTCCCCTACGTTCGTCGGACTCGCACAACTTTCCCTCGTCGTTTCAGATGCAGGATGCCGAGAGTGTACTTGCCCATACGCCTGTGTCGCCATATCCCCCTGTCCTTCCTCCAATACCACGAGTTGCTTCGCGGCATGAGTCCGATGGGGGCGATATACAGCCTTTGACGAGGCCACAGCAGACGGTTACAGCGGCGACACCAGATCGAAGCCACGGTGCGCTGCATGAGGTACAGCAGACGACAGCGGAGGCACATGCTACCACTGTACCCAACGAAGACTTACCTTCCACGGACGAAGACTTACCTTCCACGGTGGACGAACAGTCAATTGAAGAGGATCCTATGATCAAGGAGATACACACTGTTGAGATATCGATTCCTTACACTTCCGTGTCATGCTCCGTGTCTCCATCGGGCGCGAGCGATCTTCCCGACACTGCTCGAGGGCC